TTTGCAAGGCGTTGCATGGGGTAATTACCTTGACTGTGTTGAATACTGCACTGAGGTGTCAAGGGTCCAGGTGGCAAAGGGATGACAAAGGGGCCAGACTGCCTCACTGCGGAGCTGTGAGTCAGTCAAGATCCATTTCATTTCGTGATGCCATCAGCAAACAAGCAGCATCCCATGGTGTAGATCCAGAGAAGAGGGCGGACAGCCTTGGTGTGCCCCAGTAAAATAAAAACTCTGCTTCTACAAGGACTAGAATACCTCTCGGTACTGAAGCTGCTGTCAAGACACATAGCATGTGGGCACAAGGGAACAAGGACATCTAACACAGAGAATAGGTGGACAGAAATGGTATAAACACACATGACTTCGACTTCAGGAATATGGCCGAAGCCCTACTTGGAAATATCTGAAGGAGCAGGAGCCCTCCACTGTGCACCCCTCCAAGCATTTCACACCCACTGTCGCTTGCTTCCCTCTGACATGGAGGGATGATATGCTTCTCTGACTACAACACACCTTCCCATGCTGGCCCTTATAGTCACCTCCACAGGCCAAGCTCGGCATCCCATTTGGAACTTCTTCCCTCTCTATTGATTCCTAAACTCTCCTTCATTTGGGGGAGGAGGTAGGGACACTCATTCTCTACAGCTTCCTCCTCCCCTGTTTCTCACCCTGACATTCCTCAATTGCCATTTGCTTTCCTCCATTGGTCCTTCAAGCCCCTGCAGCCTGGCTCCTGCCCTAAAAATCCTTTCTTTCTACTTCCACTAGGTCAACCATGGATGTGCAGACAGTCAAACCAATGGAAGTTGTCTTTTAAAGCATGTCCAACCCTCCAATATATCTTGAGTACCTCAGGAAGGTACATGATAACTGAATACCACAATCCTTACAGACTGAGAGAACAAAATCCAGGCCACTTGGCAGTGGGGGAAGGCCTTCATTTCCTCACTGATACCCACCCATATACCACACTGCACATCATTTCCCCATACAGGAGGTCGTTTCTCATCTTCTCACCCTTGCTTGACCTGTGGCCTCTCATCACATCCCTACCTCTGTTTCACCTCAGTAACTTACATAATGGCAGAAATTCTTGGGTCAGAAACCATCTGCCCTTGGATGCCTTTCTTGCACTCCTATCACATTCCCAACAAGGCTATATGATATAACCTCATTTTTGCCTGAAATTACTTTTACATTTTTTGTTAAATATAACACCCTGTTTTATAATAGGCTTTTGCTATCCATTTCACCAAACAGGCTCTCAATTCGCTAGACAGAGGAGCCATCTTAGAAAAGCACATTTCCGGAAGGAAGTGATACACCCACACATTCCTCCTCTCTCTCAGAGAGGGACCCTCTTCAGCCCTTCACAGTATGTGTACAAAATAGTTGGAAGGAAAAGTGTTATTGTTTGCATATGAGATGACTTCTAAAAGCTCCTGTTAATGCAAGGGAATTAAGTAGTTAATAGATTAGAGAATGAGAGTACAACCTTATCAATCCACTCTACTTTGAATGGAGTGACTGAGTGGTAACTCTTGGCAATTGGTACAAGGGTGGGTGATATGGTTTTCTTGTGGCTTCCTGGCAAGGGTTGCATTTTCTGTAGTCCCTTCCTACTCTCTGATTCCTGACACCACCTTCAGCTGAGTAACTCTCTGCCACTGGCCCTTCCCACATGATATGCTGCCTTGCTTTGAGCCCAGAGTTATGAGTCTACCATCTATGCACTGAGACCTGTGAACCCTTAAACCACAAATAAAAGTTCCCTCCTCTAAGTTGTTCTTCTTGGGTATTTTGGTCACAGAAATGCAACAGGTGACTGAAATAGAAATGGATACCGAGAAGTGAGGTTATTGCTGTGACTATCCTGACCATGTGGTTCAAAATCCTTTGGAAATGGATTGCAGAAGCAATTCTAACAAGGCTAGAGATGCAATCCTTAGAAGGTTGTGAATGGAGCCTAACAGGTGAGACTAGTTCAGTATACCAGAAAGCAAATAAGAATGAGGACGTGCTCATGAGATTTCAGAGGGAAATTAGAACTTGACTCACAATTGTACTAGGGGTCATTCTTGTTATATTCAGGCAAAGAGCGTGGCTATATTTTACCCATGTCCTAAGAATTGTGTGATGCTAAATTTAAAAGTAATGAACTAATTAATCTGGCAGAGGAAATTTCAAGGCACTACAACATTTGGTTGGTGGCATGGATATTGCAGGAAGCTTTTAACCAGGATTACTGTGAGAATCAGTAATAGAAGCACAACTAAAGGAGTTTAAAAACTGGCATTTGGCCACAAAAGTGCAAGTACAGCTGGGATGAAAGAGGTGTGCTTGTTTAAGAGATAACATCCCTTAAAGGGATGCTAACTACTGTGCACACAGAAGATAAGAGAGATACCTGGATGGCATTTCAGGAACTAAATCCCCTACAGACTGTAGGGTATAAAAGTTGAAACACTTTTCAGAATACAACATGGGGGACCTGCTTACACGGGGGGGTCTAGGAAGTCATTTCACCATGTCAGAGCCAAACATGTACTCAGGCCACTGTAGTTGTGATCCCAGGGGCCATAGGCATTGCATGAGCTGGAGGCAGACCTTGGCATCATCCACATGGTGCTGGTTCTACTGATGCAGGAGTCTCAAGATATGGTAATGGATGCTTCTACCAAGATTTCGGAAGGCATGGGAGAACAGGAAAAGAGGGGCAGGTCCTATCCCTCAGGCTGTCCCTGAGAGTTCAACTTATACAGCTGTAAAGGTGAAGCCAAATTTTGAATGGACATTCTAGGAACTAAGAGATTACATGAACCAAGAGATGCCACTAACATGGACTGTGTACAAGAAAATCTGAGGGCTACAGCTAAAAAGACCTATGTGTGCTGCAACCAGCAAGGCTGAAGGGGCAGAGCTGTGGAAGTCATTTGGAAACAATGTCTCCCAGCCATGTGTCCTAGATGCTATATGCTGAGCTAGAGAATCCTTTTTGCCCAATAAGTTTTCAGTCTTGTTTTGGCCCTAAACCTTCTTTTGGGGTTCCTCATCCTTCCTTTTCGAATGTTTATTATGGGCCACTGTAATGATATATAAAACTTGGGTTTTTTACTTTTACAGGGGCTTACAGCCAAAACTTTGCCTTGAGTCTCAGAAAAGCCTTTGGACTTGAATTGGACTTTAGGGCCATGCCAGAGCTGTTGAGACTATAGGATCTAAAAGCACTTTGCATTGTAAGACTGGAAATGAGCTACAGGAGGCTAGGATCAGAATGTTATGGTTTGGGTACTAGATTTCCTTCAGAAACTCCTATTAATGTAAGAATATTCAGAGGTGAAAGAAGTCGGTGTGAGAGCTGTAACCTAATCAGTCCATGCTGATTTGAATAGACTAACTGAATGGGAACTGTAGTCAGGTGGGACAAGACTGGAGGAAACAGGTGAATGGGGACACGGCCTGGAAAGTTGCTTTTCCCACAGTCCCTTTCTGTCTCTCTCTCTGCCACCACTTGAGCAGCTTTCCTACCATGGGCTCTTCCCCCACTATAATGTGCTGCTTCGCTGTGAGTACACAGCAATGTAGTTGGCCAGTGAACTGAGACCTCTGAAAAAGTGAGGCCCAAAAAGCTTTTTCTCTTCTATGTTGTTCTTGTTATTGTTGTGTATTTTGGTCATAGCAACACAAAAACTGACTAAAAGTGGATGGGTACTTAGCTTTTTTATTCCTTTTTTCTCCTTCCACACTTAACGGCTCTAATTTGGTTCCTCTGTTGCCACGGTAGCCAACAGTCTCAGAACACAAACTTCTGACAGTTGGACATTTTAGCCACCACAACGAGGGATCTGAAGGACTTCTCATATATTGTTTATGATGAAGGAGTTGGCAGCATCTTTTTTGTGTGGGTGGCTATCAAAGGTGGTCGTATCAGAGTCTGCAACATGTATGTATTCTCTTCCACACTTATTTGCTGGGGCATCATGAAAAATGCTGGACTAAAGATACCATGAGATGATGGGAGGATGGGTATTGAAATAGTTATACTCTTTCTGGAAAGTAATTTAGTATCAACTACCATAAGAATTTAATGTATTTGTGATCTTTGGTCCAATGATCCAACCATTAGGACTATAAAGAAAGAGATATTTATGAATGAGAGGATTTACTGTCATGAATAAGACTACTGTTAATAGTCTTAATAATATAAGGGTCATTGATCACCTAACCTAATGATCATTAATAGTTAATTACCTAAGACTCACTAATGAGAAACTAGTTAAGAATTACAGAATAGGCACGAATGTATTTCTTACAAGCTATGACACAAAATTTAATCTCAGTTTATCTTGATGTGTCATCTATAAATATATGTATGAATATATGTGCAATATACATTTATGTACATTGAGAGAAAAGGAAAAGTGATAAGGAAACCCATAAAACTCTTTTACTGAAGGTTATTGTAATTAAGGATGGTAGTTTACATCCTCCCACTTTTCTGTATTTTTCAAATTTTATACAACTACATGATAGGTAGTTTCTTTTTGTTGTTATTTTCCTGTTTGTTTGGTTTGTTGGTTGGTTTTGGAACCCAGGGGCATTTAGCCACATCCCTGGACCTTTTTTCTATTTTTAATTTTGAGACAGGCTCAGTGTCTCAGTTGCTCAAGCTGGCTTTAAATTTTCAATCCTCCAGCATCAGCCTCCCAAGCAGCTAGGATCACAGGGGTACGTCACCATGCCCAGCATGACAGGCAGTTCTTTCCATCTCAGGAAGACAAAGAATGAGATGTAGCTGGTAGAGATGTTTAGTACAAAGAGCTAGTTTACAATAAAATATGTTTCAAAAGGAAAGCTTTAAAATTGCCCTTGACTGAAGAGTGCAAACAAAGGATGTTCTTCTGCCTGTGGGATAGTTCTAAATGGAAAAATCAATGGGAATTGTTGCTAAAGTATTTTCCAGTATCATCTAAAGTGTTTTTCTTTTGAAGTTCTCTGAGTTCTGGGAGATCTGTGTTTGAGCCCTTGGCCTCCATGGAAGACTCATCCTCCAATAGCAACTGCACTGATGAAGAGGACTGCATTTCTGAATCTGAATCCAACCTGAGCCTCTCTGTAGGCTATTTCCCCTATGAGGACAGCATTGCCTATGAAGACACAACCTCCTGTGAAGACTTGACTTCCGAAGGTTTTTCCTGCCACTTTCTCCCTCCCATCCAAGGGACATGGGGGATTAAAAGTTTAAGGAGGCCTGTTGGGATAAGAGATCAAATTCAGGACAACCCAGAGATGTTTTCCAAACTAACCATCTCACTGGCCTGGGATGTTGATATGGGCTCTGATCATCAAGACTCACTATCTAATTTAGATCTAAATGGAGACAACCAGTGGATAGGAAAGTGGCCACAGGAGAGGACAAAACTGACTCTCTGCAAACTGGACAATCTAATGCAAAAGCTTAAGGCATTTCTAGAAAATCAGAAAGAAGATACAGATGATGACTCTGTGCTCTCTCAATCTACTCAGGAGGAAGATCTCCAACCTTCCAGCTACTTCCCTCTCAATATGTATCAGGTCAGTCAATAAGAATATTAAACTTGTCAGGCCTTGCCTGAGGGTAAACCATCAGAAAATGAAAATGTCAATCAATTTCTAGAAATGCTACCCAGGCTTGAGAAAGTTGAACTTATTGAAGTGAGCAGAGAGCTGCCTCACTGCAGAGCAAGTGAAAGACCCAGTGGGGGTACCAGGTTGGACAGCATGGAGTCATTCTACCTGCTAGGAAGCAGTTGTGACCCCAGTGTCTAAGGAGATGAAGAATGAGAGAAGAGTAACAAGGAAGGAGCTGGGGAGGATATGTAAGGGAAATGCCAAGGAGCACTGAGGGAGATGAGAAGAAGGAAAGAAAGAGAAGGGCTGATATTTATGAAACAAACAAAGAAACTGTGTGTGTGTTTAATTATTAAGGAGTACTGAAAACTGCATTTACAGTTGGCATTGTCTTCATTTAAAAAATTAGGTTTCCATAAATGAGTAAATATTGACTCCACTGCTGCTGGTTACATGTATCTAACTCATGCGTGTTCTCTTGACAGATGATAAGCGAGGTGTGTGGCACTGCAGAGACTCCCTCAGTCTCAGCAGGGCAGCCAAAGGAGACTGACATATCTTCCATCACAGAAACCACATCCTGTCTGAACTTCCGGTCCATCTTTCACTGGCTCAGGACACGGCTCTTCGCTTCCCTACCTGGGAGAAAGCACCCTGAAAGGTCAACCAAGAGCCCCAGTCTGCTGGAGCCAAAGAAAAGATATTTCCTTAGAGGGAAGAAAATCAAACCTCAAGAATCCCTTGAATCACTACAACCTATAACCCCAGATTTTTAAATTTTTGCCCCTATTGAATAGTCCCCATAGTTTTATGTTTTGCCAATAAACAAAATAAATATTATCCACATCATCCTCTACTTCCATCATAACATATGGGCCTAGGCTAACAGTGCATATGTTGGGAGCTAGGGTTGTGGCTCAGTGGTAGAGTGCTTGCCTAGCATGTGTGAGGCACTGGGTTCGATTCTTAGCACGGCACACAAATAAATAAAATGAAGGTCCATTGACAACCAAAGAATTAAAAAAAAAAAAGGTGCATATGTTGTCTAGAAAACTGAAATTCATTCTCAGGATATTTTGGGTGTCATTATGCTTCCTAAACAGAAGGCATAATTTTTCTCTCTCCCACCATCCTTTCATACTACATTTGCCCCCATTTTATCTATTTTATTATTTCATACATTTTATCCTCTTTTTATCATTAACTCATTTTCCCACTGCCACAACGCAGCAGGACACCTATGAGATTCCCAAATGGCAGGATGGTTTTAGAGGAACTTCTAATTCTAGAGCAAGTGGCAATGGGCAGCAAGTCACTAGGGAATCAACAGTGTTTCAGACTCTCAAAAAGCACTTGTGTGCCAGGCATGGTGGCACATGCCTGGAATCCCAGAGGCTCTGGAGGCTGAAGCAGGAGGATCATGAGTTCAAAGCCAGCCTCAGCAATGGCAAATACAAAATAAGGCTGGGGAATGTGGCTCAGTGGTCAAGTGCCCCTGAGTTCAATCTCCGGTAACCTCCCCCAGCACCCCCAAAAAAGCAGTTGTGATGTTCCTAGAGCACCAGACTGGTCCTAGCATGTTGGTCAGTTCTAGCAAGTTGGCTGGCATAAGTGGCCTACACTTATGAAAGATGAGGGCTGGGAATGCTGCTTAACCACCCTAAGCCTGCCTTTCTTCATTCTTGAGGCAGATAGGGCCACAGACTTCACAGGATTCTTTGGAGAACGAATCAGACAAAGCAGGCACTTCATATATGCTATTGGTGGTGGTGGTGGTCATGTGCCTGAGGATCTCTCCATTAGTCTTGATTTAAGGAGTATCTAAGGGAGAGATTTGGAGTCAACTCTCCTTAAGCTATTTTTCTCATTGAAGCCATTTTACCAAGGTTAGATTTCTCTCAGCAGAACTTGATTTAACCAAGTACTCCCTCGATCCATTGTGAGGTTGTCTCTGAAATCCCTTTGCAAGTGTCATTAAAATTCCCTCTACCAGTCAACTTCTTTTAGGAAGCTTGACTCATTCTTCTCATTCTTCCTGTGTTGCCAATTCACCGTCATCTTCCTCACTCACCACAGGTTCCCCCAAAGGTCCTCCTCCTCCAGCTTCTATTACCACCCTGTGTGACCTTCAGAGTTCAAGTGAAAAGCATATGAGTGTTTATTCTCAAAGGCCTTCCTTTCCTCAATCCCAACCTCTCATTTCCTTCCTCCCTCCCTTCCCCAAACATTGAGCACATAGAAATGTCTGAAACCCTACTACCTTAACATACCAAAAAAGATGCCTAGATCTTTGGGCTCAAAGAGCTCTTTATTTAAGAGTTAAAGCCACGTAAACATATGACCATAAATGGTTGTATGTGAGAGTAGTCTGTAGGAGGCATACAGAGGATGCTGAAGGAAGAAATTCAGTACAGGAAGGGTGACTTTCAAGGTTTTCATACATGAGGCTCCCTAAGGTAGCAATATGGTAGTTAGAGGTAGAGGACTTTATGCTGCCAGATACATGGGAGTGGAGGTGAGATCATGCCTGGCTAATCACACATGTGAGAGACGTGTGGCTGATATGGCCCAGGAAAGACAACAGAAAGGGGATGAAAAAGATCAAAGAACAGGGCCCTTTGACCAATACAGTGCCTGCCCAAGGTCACACGAGTCTCTTCAAAGCCAGATTTGTCTTTTCCCCACCTATCTGAGAACTCTATCCCATGCCACCAGATCACTTCAATATACTCCTCCCCTTCCACCTTCTTGCTCTTTTACTTCACCAACACCTGCAGCCCCATCACCACACTTGTCCCTAATATTCATCCTTTCTATGTGCCTCATTCCCAAAGTGTGGCGTGTCACCACCTCTAGTCACATGCACAATGCCTGCCCTTCTCTTCTTCCACATCTGTTTTTAATCTCTACTCACCCAATTCCCCTAGAGGACACTCTCGCTTCTCATAGACCATCACACAAAATTACTGAGATTTCCTTCTCTTTTCCCAGAATGCCTGGGCAACTCATCATTCAAGTACTTGATCTAGGGTTACTGTAGACCAACAGTGGTCATTCTAGGTAAAGCTGGCTATATGCCCTTTCTTCTGGTCCCCACAGCATGACTTGTACTTTCCAATTCTCCTATAAATCTATTTTACCTAAAGACTGAAATCCAAACACAGTGCCTAGTCCACAGTAATCTGTCTCTCTGGCTCTATGTAATTCTTCAAAATGCTTTCAATACATCCTACAGCTCTCAATTTTTTTAAAACAATTCTTTATAAGTGAAACACAACAAATTTAAATTGAGTTGCTTTTCCTTACATCAAAAGTGATTGATGTCTAGAGTTAAGAGTAATGAGGAGAAAGGCTGAAGCAAGAGTTCAAAGCCAGCCTCAGCAGATTAGTGAGGGACTTTGCAACTTAGCAACACTAAATAAAATATTTAAATAAAAAGTGCTGGGGATGTGGTTCAGGAGGCTGAGAAAGGTGGATCGCGAGTTCAAAGCCAGTCTCAGCAAAAGTGAGGTGCTAAGCAACTTAGGGAGATCCTGTCTCTAAATAAAAAACAAAATAGGTCTGGAGATGTGGCTCATTGGTGGAGTGCCCCAGGGTTCAATTGCTGGTACAAAAAAAAAAAAGAAAAAGAAAAGAGAAAATGGCCATCAGAAGAAGATCAAATGATAGGATGAACTGCAGATTGAGAAGCCTATTGAGAACAAATGAATTTAAAACCTCATTTGCAAATTTAACAAATACACATATTCAACAAATATGCATGGAACTGTTACAGTGCTTTTGAATACGATAATAGGTCTAAAAGAAAGATGGAGTCTCCTGACCTCAGAGATCCTGCAACCAGAGTTTTGTTATTATTTTAGCTCTTTCTCTAGTAATTAAGTCAAGCTCTAAAAAAATTCAACCAAAATGAATCACTTTAAAACTGTCCAAACCAGGTACAGTGATATATGACTGTAATTCCAGCTCCTCCGGAGGCTAAGGCAGGAGGATCACAAGTTCAAAGCCAGCCTCAGCACCTTGTGAGACCCTGTCTCAAAAAAATAAAAAATGAGAAAGGATGGAGATATGACTCAAAGAGTGTCCAAAGTAAAAACTAAGTCATGTATAGATAGGTTAATACTGCATGATCTTATTCATATGTGGAAGCTAAAATATGCTGACCTCCCAAAAGAAGAAACTAGAGGAGTGACTGATTAGCACAGGAGTAGGAAGGGTAGGAGAAGGAAGGATAGAGGGAGGTTGTATAATCAGTATCAAAATACAGTCAGGAGGAAGGAGTTCTCTTGTCCTATAGCAGAGCAAGGTGACTATAGCTTACAAAAATTATATACTTTTTATAAATTATATCTATTTTATATAATTTACATATATATTACATATATTATATATAATATATTATATGTAAATTATGTATTTTACAAAAATTATATATGTGATATATAAAAAATATATAGTAGTTGTAGTTGGACACAATATGTTTATTTGTTTATTTGTTTATTTATTTTTATGTGGTGCTGAGAATCGAACCTAGTGCCTTGCACATACTAGGCGAGAGCTCTACCGCTGAGCTACAACCCCAACCCTCATTATATATTTTATAAAGAACAAGAACAAACAATGAAGAACTAGAATAGATGAGAGGACGTTGATGGTTCCCAAAACAAAACAAAACAAAATGATGTTTAAGGAGATGTAAATGCTAATTATCCTGACTTGAGCATTACTCATTATTTATATATGTATCAAATTACCACACTGTACCCCTTAATATGTATAATTATTATGTAATGTCAGTTAAAAATAACTGAGAGCCCAGCAAAGTTTCACACACCTCTTAATCCCAGCAGCTCCCGAGACAGAGGCAGGAGGATCCTGAAAAAAGCCAACCTCAGCAAAGCAAGGCGCTAAGCAACTGTTAGACCCTGTCTCTAATACAAAAAAATAAAAAATAAAAAAATAATTGGGCTGGGGAC